CTGCGTTACTTGCTCGCGACGATGCCGGACGTCGTACGTGAGAGCGTCGCAATTGATTGGGGGAGATCCCTGTGGCGTTCAGGCTATGGCACCCCTGTCAACGAGATGGATTTCAGATCTACGCTCCATTACCAGTGCTCTCTGCACGTGCGACTCCATCGTCGCCGCGGAGTCGACCTGGTTCTGGAGGCGCAGGCTCGGCGCGATCTTTTGGACCATGAACTGCACGACCGTCGTGTCGAATATCCAGACCCCGCGAGCCCTGAAACGCTGTTGCCGCGATTCCATTTGATCTCGCACCCCGAGCACCGGGAGCTCCCCTTCGCCCAGTGCGCCGTCCCGGCGGCGCAAGTCGAGTTATACCACGTGTCCAGACACATGGCGGAGGCTGACTTTCATCGAGAGGTTAGTAGGCTGGAAGGTGGAGCGGGCAGTAAGGCGCGACTGCTGTGGAATCTCATGTTCACGGAGGCTCTCTACAGATCGGACATCGGGACATTGCAGCGTCGCCTGGAAACGGGGGGCCGCCTGCTGTCAGCTGGGGGGTCCAGGTATCCACCCGCGCCAGACCTGCCCGCCGTCGCCCGTTTCCCCTCGGGCGCCTTGCCTGGGGATGGCATCGACGAGGGTTGCGTAGCACAGCCTGATGTGCGCAGTTGCACGTCTGCGCAGCCCGCACGCGCGCGCTCCCTTGCCTGCGCGCGCGTGCCCTGTTGTCATGCCCCGGCGCCGGCGTGTGGGCGTGAGGTGAGGAATAAATCCCGTCTCAAATGCAACCGCTTGCTGTTGACCTTGCGAGGGGGGGCGCGATTTCTTGCCCCTGTCGCCGGAGAGGTTTCGTGACAGTTTCGTGCCCAATGCACTGTGCAGACACGTATGCACCGAGCCAGCCAATAGGCGTGCCTAGGTTGCAGGTCTCGCTCGCTCTCTCTCTCTCTCTCTCTCTCTCTCTCTCTCTCTCTCTCTCTCTTGTCCGTGTCCATTATGGCTCAGGGTGGCGGTCGTCAAGCGCTGGTACTTCGTCGGCTCTGGCACGGCGGGCTCGCGGCCGTGTGATGACAGGCCATAGCTTGACGCCTGCGCGGACACAGCCGGTAGATTCTTGCCCAGTCGGCAGGGCGGGACTTTGTTCAGAGTCGCCGCCCAGTCGACGTGTTCGCGCACCCTGGCGGAGCGGTGCTCTGTTCAGGGTCGCTGCCCAGTATGATTTCTGTGCGAAGCCTCGCGGAGCGGAGCCCATTCTGCGTCTCTGCCCTTTTGGGTTTTTTCTGTTCCCCCCGCACGCCCTTGCGGGAGGATTCTGTTTAGAGTCGCTGCCTGGGCGTTTCTGTCGCAGCTTTGCGGGGCGCAATTCTGTTCAGAGTAGCTGCCCATTTAGGTTTTTGCGTTGGCATTTGGAGCAGGACTATATTGGAGTCGCTGCTGGTCGATTCGCATTCCTTTGCGGGCGTGGCTCTGTTGAGAGACGCTGTCCGCCCGATTGTGCATGCCCTTGCTATCGTTCACTGGCTGTGTTGTTTGGAAGATTGGGAAAAGAAATTGTCCTGCTCAGGACGGGGCTGGCAGGTGTGCCAACGGGTTGCCTGTTCAGGCGCAGGCGCAGGTGGCCGGGTTGCCTGTTCAGGCGCAGGCGCAGGTGGCCGGTGCCGCTGCCTGCTGAGGCACTGCGCCGGGGGCCCGATGCGACTCTGCCCCCCTCGCCCGTCGCGCGCGCCGCCGCCTGTCGAGGCATGCCCCCTTGCGTTCATTCGCGCTGCGTGGATGTGTCCGGCGGGCCTGGCAAGGCCAGGGCCAGCCCTGTTTGGGGAGGGGATGGGGAGACGTTGGGCTTGCCTGTTGAGGCTGGCGGCTGCCCTGGTCAGGGTCGGGGGTGGTCACTCCCGTGCGTTAGGTGTGACGCGGCGCGGGCCCCGTCCTGTTTAGGCGGGCCTGTTAGCCCGGCTCCCTGGTCAGGGTGCTCGTGGCCTCATCCGTAGCTGGTTGGCTCAAACCAGCACGCACCATGTGAATCACGTGGTCTTTCGAGCAGGCCCGCGCTGGCCTCAGACGGCGCCATCTCGCCGAGTTCTCTCGGCAGGCGGGGGAGGGGCAGAGTGGCGCCGGCGCTTCAGGCGGGCCTGCGAGTCCGCGACGCCGGGGCCTCGTGGGCCAGGGCGGGCCCGGCGCAGGAACCCAGAGGCCGCTGGCAGTTCCCCTCCACCTCGGAGGCGCGGCGGCCCCGACCGCCTCATTGCTCCCGAACGGGCGCCTGCCTCTTCGCGATCTTCGTATTCGTCTTCTGCGGGCCCCGGCCGCAGGCGCCCAGCCAGGCAGATTCTTGGGCGTGCGCGCGTTTGCCGCAGCGGTTACCCGCCCGGGAGGGCCGCGGGCAACGCTGGTGCCAGCTCGTGCGGACGCTGCTTCGACCTCCCATGAGCTTCGCTGCACGCCAGGGCGGGCGCCGCCGTCTGACTCCGAGGATAGCCGGCGAGGCGGGCACGCGGCGATGGTGCGGCGCAAGGGCCGCCTTATGAAGGCGCTGCGCGGCGCGAAGGCGAGGCACCCTTGGCGGCCGGATGCGCCAGTCCGACGAGCATACGCTCGCGGATCGAAGCGAGGCCTCGATGACCAGCGGCAGGACGCGGCGGCAATCGCGGAGCTCGACGAAGCTGCCCTGGCGAGGGGGACCCGGGCCTCGCATCGCTCTCGCTGGGCCTGGTGGCGGGCGCGGCGCGCAGCTCGGGGCATTCCGCCGCTCCCGGTCAATCCAGACACCCTCGCGTTGGCTGCGGCCCTGCTGTTGCGTGGGCAGTACCGCAGTGGTGTTTTGTACTTGTCGTGCATCAAGCGGCAGCACGTCAAGGCTGGGCACGAGTGGTCGGGGCAAATGGCGCAGATCTTCGGCGACGCTGAACGGGCCATCCTTCGTGGACTCGGCCCCGCCAAGAGGGCAGAGCCGCTGCCGCTGGAGCAGTACGTATCCGACGATTTCAAGGCTAACGTCGCTGTTGCAGCGAGGCCGGAGTGGCCTGCTGCGGGCGTGGACGCAGCCGTGGTTGCGTGCGCATGGCTGCTCCGCGAAGTGGAGAGCAGCTCGGCCTTCCTCAGGTCAGTGGAGCTCTTCGAGGCCGAGGGGGAGGAGGACGGTCCGTGCGGTTGGGCCACTTGGCATCTACCTGCCTCAAAGGCTGACCCGGCAGCCCTCGGTGAGTCACGCTCGCTGGGCTGTGCGTGCCCGTCTCGACTCTGCCCCGCGCGCGCCCTCCGGAGAGTTGTCGACGTATCCCCGAGGCATCGGGATATGCAGTGTCGAGCTGATTCCACCGAAGCCCACAACTGGCCGCTCCTCGTGGACACGTTCGGCAGGCCGCTCACAAAGGCATCGGTCGCGGCATTCTACAAGGGGCTCACAGAGGCGGTCGGAGGGCGCATTGAGCATGTGTCGGGCCACTCTGCGAGAGTGACGGGTGCGCAGCGCATGGCCAAAGCCTGACATTCTCTTGCAGTGATTCAGCTGTTTGGCAGGTGGGGCTCAGCGGCGGTACTGCTTTATGTTCGCGACGCTCTTCTTGGAAGCAAAGGGGGTGGCCTGGCCGCTCGCACGGAGGGGGCGCGTAGATGGACCGACGCACCCTGCATCGATGACCTTCATAGCCGGGTTCAGGATCGCGCGCGGGCGTCTGCAGGCGTCCTCCGCGGCAGCGGTCCCGAGGTTCAGGCCGTTTCGGAGGATGTTGTGGAGCGCATCGCAGCCACTGTCCTTTCAAGGCTCAGGGACCCCGCCGGCTCGGACAAGGAGCAGTTCGAGGCCCTTGTTCGGATCGTCGACGAGAAGTGCGACCAGGTGAGAGACGACGTGGCCGTCATCACGGGCACCAAGCAGCCGGAGTACGTCGCTTGCAACGGTGGGCAGTTCCACATGGTGTTCTCTCCCCAGCGGACCTTCTGCGGATGGTCATGGAGCATCTCCGACTACGAGCCTATCCTCAAGGAGCAGTGGGACAGTGCGCCCTGTGCAGGCGCTGTGTCTCGCAAGTGCGCGAAGTGCAATAGGTTTGCACTTGCGAGGGGGGTGTGATGCCAGGTAGCGGATCGACGGCCTGTTTAGGCGTCTCGGCGTGTTTACGTCGGCACCGAGGCCTCGGGTGGATTGCAGTTGGGCGTTTGCCCAAGCACTGCTGGATACCTGCCCTGTTCAGGGCCTCGTAGTGTTAGCCAGCTTGCGTCCCCAGGCGATGGAGAATTGGTCATCGATTGAGCGTGTGGCAAAAGATGAATCCCGAGCGGGGATGCGGCAAGTGAGGTTTGAGTGATTGCGTTTACCGCGCTGGCAACAGTGTGTCGGAGCAGGGTGCAGCGTAGCACAGCTTGATGTGCGCAGTTGCACGTCTGCGCAGCCCGCGCGCGCGCGCTCCCTTGCCTGCGCGCGCGTGCCCTGTTGTCATGCCCCGGCGCCGGCGTGTGGGCGTGAGGTGAGGAATAAATCCCGTCTCAAATGCAACCGCTTGCTGTTGACCTTGCGAGGGGGGGCACGATTTCTTGCCCCTGTCGCCGGAGAGGTTTCGTGACAGTTTCGTGCCCAATGCACTGTGCAGACACGTATGCACCGAGCCAGCCGATAGGCGTGCCTAGGTTGCAGGTCTCGCTCGCTCTCTCTCTCTCTCTCTCTCTCTCTCTCTCTCTCTCTCTCGCTCATCTCTCTTGTCCGTGTCCATTATGGCTCAGGGATGGACCTGTTGAGGTCTTTTCCCACCCGCCCGCCCTGGTGGGGTGTCGCATGGTTATGCGTCCGCGCTGTTCAGCTGCGGGGTGGGCGAGCCCCGAGGGGGCCCAAACGCCAGTCAGGGGGTGTGATTCCAGGTAGCGGATCGACGGCCTGTTTAGGCGTCTCGGCGTGTTTACGTCGGCACCGAGGCCTCGGGTGGATTGCAGTTGGGCGTTTGCCCAAGCACTGCTGGATACCTGCCCTGTTCAGGCCTCGCATCGCTCTCGCTGGGCCTGGTGGCGGGCGCGGTGCGCAGCTCGGGGCATTCCGCCGCTCCCGGTCGATCCAGACACCCTCGCGTTGGCTGCGGCCCTGCTGTTGCGTGGGCAGTACCGCAGTGGTGTTTTGTACTTGTCGTGCATCAAGCGGCAGCACGTCAAGGCTGGGCACGAGTGGTCGGGGCAAATGGCGCAGATCTTCGGCGACGCTAAACGGGCCATCCTTCGTGGACTCGGCCCCGCCAAGAGGGCAGAGCCGCTGCCGCTGGAGCAGTACGTATCCGACGATTTCAAGGCTAACGTCGCTGTTGCAGCGAGGCCGGAGTGGCCTGCTGCGGGAGTGGACGCAGCCGTGGTTGCGTGCGCATGGCTGCTCCGCGAAGTGGAGAGCAGCTCGGCCTTCCTCAGGTCAGTGGAGCTCTTCGAGGCCGAGGGGGGGGAGGACGGTCCGCGCGGTTGGGCCACTTGGCATCTACCTGCCTCAAAGGCTGACCCGGCAGCCCTCGGTAAGTCACGCTCGCTGGGCTGTGCGTGCCCGTCTCGTTTCTGCCCCGCGCGCGCCCTCCGGAGAGTTGTCGACGCATCCCGGAGGCATCGGGATACGCAGTGTCGAGCTGATTCCACCGAAGCCCATAATTGGCCGCTCCTCGTGGGCACGTTCGGCAGGCCGCTCACAAAGGCATCGGTCGTGGCATTCTACAAGGGGCTCACAGAGGCGGTCGGAGGGCGCATTGAGCATGTGTCGGGCCACTCTGCGAGAGTGACGGGTGCGCAGCGCGTGGCCAAAGCCGGACATTCTCTTGCAGTGATTCAGCTGTTTGGCAGGTGGGGCTCAGCGGCGGTGCTGCTTTATGTTCGCGACGCTCTTCTTGGAAGCAAAGGGGGTGGCCTGGCCGCTCGCACGGAGGGGGCGCGTAGATGGACCGACGCACCCTGTATCGATGACCTTCATAGCCGGGTTCAGGATCGCGCGCGGGCGTCTGCAGGCGTCCTCCGCGGCAGCGGTCCCGAGGTCCAGGCCGTTTCGGAGGATGTTGTGGAGCGCATCGCAGCCACTGTCCTTTCAAGGCTCAGGGACCCCGCCGGCTCGGACAAGGAGCAGTTCGAGGCCCTTGTTCGGATCGTCGACGAGAAGTGCGACCAGGTGAGAGACGACGTGGCCGTCATCACGGGCACCAAGCAGCCGGAGTACGTCGCTTGCAACGGTGGGCAGTTCCACATGGTGTTCTCTCCCCAGCGGACCTTCTGCGGATGGTCATGGAGCATCTCCGACTACGAGCCTATCCTCAAGGAGCAGTGGGACAGTGCGCCCTGCGCAGGCGCTGTGTCTCGCAAGTGCGCGAAGTGCAATAGGTTTGCACTTGCGAGGGGGGGGGGGGGGGGATGCCAGGTAGCGGATCGACGGCCTGTTTAGGCGTCTCGGCGTGTTTACGTCGGCACCGAGGCCTCGGGTGGATTGCAGTTGGGCGTTTGCCCAAGCACTGCTGGATACCTGCCCTGTTCAGGGCCTCGTAGTGTTAGCCAGCTTGCGTCTCCAGGCAATGGAGAATTGGTCATCGATTGAGCCTGTGGCAAAAGATGAATCCCGAGCGGGGATGCGGCAAGTGAGGTTTGAGTGATTGCGTGTACCACGCCGGCAACAGTGTGTCGGAGCAGGGTGCATCGAACGGAAGAGATTGATTGGCGTGGCGTGTGTCAAGAGATCCGTTGAGTACGTCTCCGTGCAATTGCTGAGCGTCACCGGGGAGATCGGAGACGAAGATCGGCCCCTGACGCCAGACCCGGGCCAGCTGGGTGTCAGCAAGCGAGGGTGGGAGACCCGGGTCCAGGAGTGGCGCAATAGCGTTTCGCGGCTCCTCGATGCAGTGCCAGTGTTCGCGACTGCGATGTCGGCGGCACTGGCGTTTGGTCTCTGGGTCGAGCCATCGCTGCCTGCCGTGCCTGGCGTCGACTTCCTCCTGCTGGATGGCAACTGCATCCTGCTCGCGTACAGCGTTCTTACTGGAAATTTCCACGGGTGCGTCAATTATTGTCGACGGTTTCCTGTTCGTCGCGGCTCGGTGCGCCAGTGCTGCGATGTCGCCAAATATTTCGGATTTACTTTCGTTCTCGTGCCCGCGGGAGATGCGCTGCCCGGGAGACGCGGGCCTCCTCCTGGGAAGTACCTTTTTCATTTTCGGAACCATTGCCGCGCGGTGGCCGTCCTGCCGGACATTGACGCGTCGGTCGTTTGGAGAGGCATCAGCCACCATTTCCCGCCGACCGCGCACTGGATGCACTACGCGAACAACCTCGGGGGCGAGATGGTCCTCATCAGCGACCCGCTGGGGGCAGCGGGCCACGGGGGAGAAGGAACCTACGCGTGCCTCAGTCGGGCGTTAAATGCGCTGGGGCCCCGCGTGCCGACTGCTGTCCACGGCCCATTCCGCGCTCTGGAGCACGGGAATCAATGGTTGGTGGACCAAGGCTGGAAGTTGATCCGGCAGGCGCGGGGCCCCACGGGCCCGGGGCGTTACGTCAAGTGGGAGCCGCTCCTGGACGACGAAGGACGACCCAAAAGAGTTGGCCATTTTACAGTGGCTTTCTTGCGGTCAGTCGGCGTCGCTGTAATCGATCATGCGCGCGGGCTGCCAGTGGTCCGCGAGTGGCGCACGCGGGGCGACATCCCCGGCGTTGAGCGGCACAAGTGGTTCAAACTAGTTGAGCTCGGTGCCGACGAGCGCAGCCCCGAGCACATCCGCGTTCTCCCCAGGGGAACAAGCGCGGACATCATCGAATCACATCGCCTCGACGCGCTCATCCGTCGACGTGATTCGCGAAAGCGGGCCAGGGAGCAGGGGCCAGAGTTTCGCGCTCCCGCGCTCGCGCCGCGGCTGGTGGCGCGGGTGGCAGGGAACCGCGAGGAGGCCCTGCGGCTCAGGGCGCTGCTTTTGTTTCGCCCGATGCCGCCAGTGGGGTGGCCTGGCGTTGAAGTGCCCGAGGAGCCGCGCGATTTCTTCCAGGAGCTCCCGCGCCTCCCGAAGATCCGTCTGCTCGAGCGCCTCAATGCGCGTCCTCGGGACGCCCGGCTGCTTTTCGTGGAGGAGTCCCACACGTATTTCATGGATGGCTGGCGAACGCACGGATCTGTCACGGGCTTGATCCACGAGTACTCCCAGGAGTTCGACGCCCAGGCCGTGATCCGCAAGATGCGACGAGGTTGGAATTGGCCCAGGCCAGAGAATCTTCGCCACCCTCTTCCGGAAGCCGCAGTTTTAGAACTGCGGGCGAGGCCGGAGGCCGCGCCATTGCACGCGTTGCTCGCGCGACGCAGTGCCACTGCATCCGACATATGCGCTGCTGCTCAGGTGGCCTTGCGAGCCGCGCCGCATTTGATGGACCTGGTGGACGGCCTGGCCCTCGCAGAGCAGGATATCATAGAACAGTGGCGCTTGGGCGGCGCAGAGGCGGCGAGGCGGGGCACGTGGATGGATTGGACCTTCGAAGCGCACCTCAACCGCATTCCAGTGCCCGATGCTTCAATCGAATTTCAATTATTTTCAACATTCTTGTGCTCGCTCAGGGGTCTGGTGGCTTTCCGCACCGAGTGGACTATCTTCGCAGAACACGAAGGGTTGGCCGGGTCAATCGATTTTGTGGCGCAGGACCTCGCGGGCCGCCTGCTCATCTACGATTGGAAGCGGTCCAAGAACTTACGCTCGAAGTTCACCCACCAGTGGGGGAGCATGAAGTACCCGCTGGAACATTTGCCAAACTGCCAAGGGCAGCATTATCGGGTACAGCTCAACATTTACAAATGGATTCTGGAGCGTTACTACGGCGTCCAAGTGGCCTCGATGTCGGTGGTCTGCCTGCGCCCAGACAATGGCGACCATCCATTCGTTGACGACGCGCCCGAGATCCCAGAGATCGAGGACCTGATGGCCATTCAGCGTGACAGATCGAGAGAATTGCGGGCCATGGCGTTGGCAGATACCAGCGAAGTCGACCCTCTTGGTAGCAGTTTGAAGCCAGTCGCAGGGGCGCGCGCCTCGCTTCTCGTGGATGCGATCGCTGTCCGCGGCGACAGAGCAGGATTCGATCCCGACCCGCGGGGTGGCGTGGACGCAGGGGATCTCGGCTTTGATGCATATACTTTGCGGGTGGGAGAGAACGAGTCGGGCGCAGCTGAGCAAGGCGCTGCGTTGTCCTCCCCGCCCCGCCTGGAACCCGACGCAGGCGCGCGAGACGACGCCGCGGCGCCCGCCGCGCTGCCACCAGCGCGGCGCGGCCGCGCGCGCCAGACGGAGGATGGCGAGGGCGGGGGGCGCAGGGCGCGCTCAGACTCAGGAGTAGAGGGGGCCGCAGGGCGGGAAGCGCGGCCAGGCGCCGAGGAAGATGCCTCCGACGTCTCCTCATTCAAGAGACGCCGCCTGATGAGCGGCGCGCAGACGTCGAAGCAAGATTATGAGAAGTTGTTCCAGAAGTGCAGGAAGAAGTCCGAGGGCGGCCTGCGCGGAGTCGCCCAGGACACCAGCGGCCGCGACAGCACCTTCATCGAGAAAACCAAGCTGATGAGGAAGTCGGTCGAGGCGAAGTTCCCATCTTGGAAAAGGGAGGTGCACGAGGACATGATTCGCCTGGCGTTCGGGGTTCTTACAACGTACCGCTTGCGTCTCGTTGACCTCTTTATCCGCGAGTATGTGTTCTTGATGTGGATTATCCAGGGCGACCTCCACATGACCGCCCACGATGGAAATTGCTGGTTCTACCAGAGCAGCAGCGGCGCCATGCGACTGTACGAGGGGATGCCGCCCGAGTCAGCATTCGGCCGCGTGAAGGATTACCTGCTGAAGCTAGAAGGAACTTTCAGGTTGATGCCCGCGGACACCAGGCGGGAGGACAACAGCCTTTTAGATGCCTTCGGCGCACTCGCCGGTGAGGACTTCGCAACGCTCTGTAATCAATGCAGGGACGCTGCTATCTTCTCGAAAGGTTCTGGAGCGAACAGGAGGCGCCCGGCGCCCGAGAGCGGGGAAGCAGGACCCCCCGCGGCGGGGGCAGAGGAGGCACCGAGCAAGATTTTGAATATCCATACGGCCGAGGCTATCAGCAAGATCTGTATTCAATTGCAGAGATCACTGTTGGAGGGCAAACTCATACCATATTTCGTTGAATGGTGTGAAACCCCAGACCCTCGAAATGACCCCCAGTATGTGCCTGGGTGCAGCTACAGCGACATCAGCGTTCTGTACGAGAAGACCCGCGGCGGAGAGATTGTCTCAAAGGTGAACAAATCCCCGCGGAACAAAATCTATTTGTCCATGCCGCACCCACTGATGGACTCGGTCGAAGGGGCAATGTGGGACGAGGTTACAACCTTCTATGCTCAATCATTCTGGAGCAATTTGAACGTTTTCGAATGCTTCCAAGCTGCTCGGGCCCTGGCGAAGAGAGGGCTAAATGTTGACCGCTGCTTCTTTGGCCGCAGCCCTGGCGGGGTTGGGCAATCTCTGTGCAGCGCGCATTTGAACGCCGTGTATGCCCACAACCACAAGTACTTCGACCCGAATATATGGTACGACGACGGCGAGCTGCGCAAGCAGATCGAGCAGTACGCCGGGTGCATCATCATGACCGGTCAGGAGTCGCCCGAGACCACCAGGCGGATGCGGGACGACCTGTTCAAGAAGACGGTTTCTGGAGACGGCGTGGCCGGCAGGAGGCCGTGCGGCGTCATCACCAGGCTGGAGCGGCGAGCAGAAGGGGCGAGGTCGGGGGGTCAGTGGCTAGGGGGGAGCACCGTGCCCTTAGTGGCCCGGGGCTGCGGGCGGTGGCGTGGGCAGGCGGGTGGGCGGGGATTCGTTGGTCAACAGAACCTCAATTGACTTCCCGACGTGGCTGCTCCTGCTCTCCGCCCGAGGATACTGGAGTTAATTGGGTGGACCAGATTGGACATGCACAAGCTTCTTCAGTTTTCTGGCGTCACTGAGAAGTCGTTCTGGGCCATCCTTCGCAGATCACTCGGGTGGGAGGCGAAGGCTGGCTTTTTCGACGCGGAGTTCTTGAGGGGGCACTACCCTGACCACGAGCTCGACGGCGTGTTTGCCAGGAAGCCGTACTTGAAAAAGGCGCTCGCCAGTCCGCCTGCCGTAGGCGTGGCGCTGAAAATCCAAGACGGCTTTGAGCGCAACAACAACCGGGAACGCTGCGGGCAGATCATCGAAGAGTACGCCGCCCTCGGCGGCGACGGCGGCCGGACCGAGGCCATGATGAGAGAGGCCTGCGGCCTGAAGCCGCGCCCCCAAGGCGAGGGCGACAAATTGCTTGGCTTGCGCTCCGTGATGGGCCGGGGCGCAGAGGCCCCAGCAACGGCGAAGGACTCGGAGAAGGCCGTCGAAGCGCTACTGCCCGCAATCACCGAGGAGTGCGTCCTGAGGAAGAAAGACAGCTTGAACTTCACCGCCTTCAAAAGGCTCAAGCTACCAGCGGTGCCAGGGCTCGAGGGTCATGGCAAGGAGGACGTGTGGAACCTCTTGCGCAAGTCCAGCGTTGTGTTCGCGGTGAAGGCGTGGCCTTCTGGCGAGGGCGCGATGCCGCGTCCTCCGATCTCAAAGCCGTTTGCAGATGATTGCGACAGGGCCCCGTCGGGATTGGAGATGTCGTTCCCTGAGCGCTACGAGATGGCCACGTTTCGGGAGTACGTTAATGGAGCAGAGCACAGGAAACACAACGTCGGCATTCTGCGCGAGCACCTCCATCTCTCTTTCCCGCGGCTACACGGAGCCATGAGCAAGGGCGCCAAACAAAAGAGAGAGGAGGCGCTTAAGAGAACACGGGCTCTCGATGCGCATTAACAAGCGTGCGGCTCCCTTCTCGGCAGATTCGAAGGCCTCGAGGAGGGTGGCATCGCGCGGCGCAGCGTGGCGTACCGCAGCATTCTCGCCGATTTCCGGAGCCGCCGCGTGGCGGCCGAAGTGGCGGCTCAGTCTTGCTCCAGGAGAGCTCTGCAGCAATTGGTGCCCAGCGCCCCAGACTTCGACATATCGAATTGCATGTTGTCATTGACCAAGCAGTTACTTGAGAAGCTTGGCCTGGACAGCTCGCTCCCCGCCCGATTGAGAGCGTTGCTCGCGAAGTGCGCCGAGCGGCGAGACACGGTGTGCACGGTCGATCTGGGGGCCACCAAGCAGGAGGGCAAGCGGCTGCTCTCGGAGCTGCTTAGTGGATCCGCCGCGCGGAGGAGCGCAAGGAAGACCCTGTTGTGCAGGAGTTGCAAGACTTGTCGAGGTACCTGCGTTGGTTGGCCTGCTCATTGCTACCAGACGTGTACGACCAGATGAGGAACGACCCGTCGAAATCGCATCCAGAGGCGTCCACCTTATTCTACATGTGGTCGGCCGTCGAAGACTTGGTGCTCTCGCGTTGGCTTGATTTTGTTCTGCGGGAGCCTCGGTCGCACGTTTCCTGGCACTACGACGGCATTCGGGTTCAGAATCCAGCGGGCGACATCGACGTGGAGGACTTCTGCGCGCAGAGTCGTGCGCACATTGCAGCGCAAACAGGGTTCGAGGTGAACATCCGGCAGAAGATCCACAAGACTTTCTTCGAGCTGGTGCAGGAGAGCGGACGCCGTCTTGAAGACTGCAGTTCTGACGACGGCAACGACGTGGTTCTGCTGGCGGACGGAAATTGCATTATCCTGGCACGCGCGCGTCTGAGCCCCGACCTGCGGGCCCCAGCATCGGAGGCGGCGCGCTGTGGCGCCGGAGGTTCTCGCGGAGCCCCGTGTCGCGAGTGCGCAGCCGTTCGCGATTCGGTGGGGGTCTCTTTTGCTCCTTGCTTGGGAGCGCATATCTCAGAACCGGGCAAGTTCATCATCCACGCGGAGGACAATGGGAAGCCGCATTGCGTTCCTTTTCATGTTTCGTCTTTGAATGAAGATTGCACCTTCTGGATGGGGCCCGCCAGATACTCCATCTCGCTGGCGTCCTTGAGGGAGTGCGCCGCCTCTGCCACAGATGGGGCAACTCTCGTTACTTTCAGTTTCGAATGGGACCCATCGGCGCCAGACGGTCCGGCTCAGGGCACAGATAAGAAGGCTTCCGGCAAGTTGCTGGAGCTCCGGGCTGGGGCCGGCGGCGAACCAGTCTCGTCTGACAGCACCCCGCTTGGCGATTTCCTTGCCACTGCAAGGAAGGAGGTGTCCGTTTACTTGGACGGCCTTAGTGGGTACAGCAAGAGAGGGTCTGGCAAGAGTAAGTTCATGCACTCGTGCAAGCTCTGCCCGAGATGATACTTCGAGTGGAAGAACAGGCTGGTTGAGCACGTGAAGATGCACCACCAGAAGCGGGCGTCTTTCGTCCCTTACAAGTGCAACAAGATGTTCCGCATTGCGAAGGCCGTCTATGACAGCGACCAGATGCGCGGTATTTCTGGCGATAAATATCTGCAGAGGGCAGCGGCTCTGGCGAGCAAGGGGCTGTCCAAGAGGGCCCACACGCACCTGGACGAGCACATGGTGCTCGTGTTAGAAGAAGGCGGGCCGAGGTACTACCCGCAATCGGAGCTGTGCCAGATGTCCGTTCGCCGCGTCGGCGACTGCTACTCGACGCGGGAGTTCTACAGTCAGCTTTATAGAGATGCATTGTTGTCCGATGGCCGCGTCGAGCGCGTCATGAATGCTGCTTTCCAGCGGTCGGAGTTGGAAGGGGACAGTTTTACTTCGCTGATGACAAGTCACCAGACTACGTGGCAGAATATGATGGCCGATGTGTTCCGAGCTCCACAGGCGCGAGAGCACCTCGCCGGCCTGCTGGAGGAGTGCGAAGATAACGGCGAGTTCCAGTGGGTGTCCATCGACGGCGCTGCTAAACCCGCATTTACTCTGGTCGGGCAAGCGTCCTACAGGTCGCCGCGGTGGGTTCGAGAAGATCAGGCCGTTCCCATTGATGATCAACTTCATGTAGTTTTGACGATGCGGGGCCGGACGGGCGCCGTACTGTTGGCGACGCCTGTTCAGACTGAGAAGACCGAAAACGTACGCAGTGCTCTTTCATCGACATTCTCGGCATCGCAGCTGGCACACATCCAGTACCTTGTCACGGACGATCCGTCGGCAAAGCTGCTCGACGGGCTTCAAGATGTCTGTGGCAACCTCAAGGCAATCGCCCTGGACTGCTGCCACCTGGCCATGGTCTACGAGCAGGCCAACTGGGAAAATAAGAGTCCAGGGAGCATTGACATTCGCAGAATCGTTGCGAAGCTGGAGGCAAAGTACGGCGCTGGACCTCGCGGAGACTTCTTCGACGGCACGAACGCCGCCGCGTCCACGCGGGGCGAGAAGATTGCCCGCGGCGGCATCGGGCGCAAAAGGCTAACTGCGAGGAAAGCAAAGCGGGTCCTGGACGGCATCGACGTGAGCAAGCCCTTCCAGAGTCGCACCGAAATCGTGCGATGCATAGAGGCCGTTGCCCACGTGCACCACAGGGAGACGAAGAAGACGCTGCCTTCAGGCAAAACGAGGTTGCAGATGCTCAAGTGCGCCGCCCAACCAGAGAGGCTGGAGTGGATGCTGAATGCGGCCCGGATTCGTTCCAGGATGACGCGGGAAGAGCGCGTCTTCTTGCCCGCAGGTTTCTGGGGGCCTTTGGAAGCGTTGTGGTTTGTTTTGCCATTCGGGGCACAGTCGAGATGCGAAGTATGGTTCGTCAACATTGCATCGCGACGCAAGCCTCGAAACCAGGATCAGCAAACAACGACGCTTTCAACGGCGGCCGCGCCACAGGCACCACATCGAACGAGTCGTTCCACATGGAGCTCAAGCGGTGTTTTTTTCGGCCAGAGCATGCACCCATGCATGCTTGCTCTAAAGCTCGCCGTCATCCACATCGCCAAGCTGATGACGCATAATTCGGCTCTGTACCGCCAGACGCTGGCGCAGGTGCCGCAGAGCCGCCTGCTTCATCGCCTGGCGGGGGCGACGGAACTGTTCAGCCTGGCAAGCTGGGAGCGCTGGCGCGCCCCTCTTTGCGCTGACGGCGCCGTGCAGAAGGCCCCTTCTCCTTTTGCCGCCGAGAGGAAAGCGCTTCAGGCGCGGGTCTCTCAGTGGCGCGCAGCGAAGAGCGCTGCTGGGCGCCGCCGCGGCAGAGGTAGCCGGAAGCGCACTGTGTTCTCTCTGCAGAAGCGCCCCGCCGCTAACGTGTAGGAGTCGCCATGATAGATGCGTGCTGGACCGACAAACGCAAAGAAAGAACACATCAGCGGCTGACGTAAGCAGAGTTGAAATCGGAGCGATGTTGATGGAATTGGTGGAGCTGGCGGTGAGGGTCGGGGCGGTGGGCCTGGGGAGTAGGTGGAGTTGGTGGAGATGGTAGAGATGGTGGGGTTGGTGTAGTTGGTGGAGTAAGCCGAGCTTGCGGAGTTGGTGGGGTTGGCGGAGCTGGTGGAGTGAGTTGACCGAGTTGGTGGGGTCTCACTCCGCAGCCTGTGGAGTCTCACTCCACCAACTCCACCAACTCCACCAACTCCACAGACTCCCCCAGCTCCACCAGCTCGACCAACTCCTCCACCAACTCCACTAATTCCACAAACTCCACCAACTCCGCCAACCACCAACTCCACCAACTCCACCAGCCCCCACCAGCTCCACCAGCTCCACCAACTCCACCAACTCCAGGAGCTGGTGAGTTGGTGGGGTTGGTGGATTTGGTGGAGTTGGTGGAGCTGTCGGAGCTGGTGGAGTTGGTGGAGTTGATGGAGTGAGACCCCACAGACTGCGGAGTGAGACTCCACCAGCTCCACCAACTCCACCAACTCCCAACTCCACCAATTCCACCAGCTCCACCAGCTCCGCCAGCTTCACCAACTCCACCAACTCCACCAAGTCCACCAACTGCAGTGAAACCCCATTGGTGGAGTTGGTGGACTTGGTGGAGCTGGTGGGGTTGGTGGAGTTGGTGGAGTTGGTGGATTTGGTGGAGTTGGTGGTTGGTGGAGTTGGTGGCGTTGGTGGAGCTGGCGGAGCTGGCGGAGCTGGTGGAGTTGGTGGAGTTGGTGGGGTTGGTGACGTTGGTGGAGTTGGTGGAGTCTTACTTTGCAGTATGTGGGGTCTCACTCCACCTACTCCACCAACTCCACCAACTCCACCAACTCCATCAACTCCACCAACTCCACCAACTCCACCAACTCCACCAACTCCACCAGCTCCGCCAGCTCCGCCAGCTCCACCAATTCTACCAAACCCACCAACTCCACCAACTCCACCAACTCCACCATCTCCTGGAGCTGGTGGGGTTGGTGGAGTTGGTGGAGTCTCACTCCGCAGCCTGTGGAGTCTCACTCCACCAACTCCACCAACTCCACCAACTCCACTAACTCCACCAACTCCACCAACTCCACCAGCTCCGCCAGCTTCACCAACTCCACCAACTCCACCAGCTCCTGGAGTTGGTGGAGCTGGTGGAGCTGGTGGGGGCTGGTGGGGCTGCTGGAGCTGGTGGAGTCGGTGGAGTTGGTGGAGTTGGTGGAGTTGGTGGAGTTGGTCGGCCCTGTCTCCAATCGACCACTTCCACCAACACGCGAAGCCGATATAGCAAGCGAGACCATCACTACAGGTAGAATCAGCCCTTTCACATGTATGTATGTATGTATGTATGTATGTATGTATGTATGTGTGTATGTGTATGTGTGTATGTATGTATGTGTGTATGTATGTATGCATGTATGCATGCATGCATGCATGTATGCATGTATGCATGTATGCATGTATGCATGTATGCATGTGTGTAGTGTGGGTAGTGTGTGTAGTGTATGTGTAGTGTATGTGTATGTGTGTATGTGTGTGTTTGTGCGTGTGTGTGTGTGTGTGTGTGTGTGTGTGTTTGTGCGCGTGTTCGCGTGTATGTGTGTGGGTGTGTGCTGTCATTTGCCGTCTTCGTGTCGCGGCCCTTTGCTCTCGATCTTTTGTTGTGGGAGGGGCCCAGCGCCAACCGTCGTCTCTGCAAGACGGGGCCGCGTCCTCGCAAATCTGTCGGTCTACCTCGGCGTCGCCGCCGCCAATGCCGCTGACGCGATGGCCTTGGCACGCGCTGTTCTCCTTTTTCCCGCGCGCTGTTGCATGACATGCTGAACTTTGCGACGCTTGCAATGGTATTTCGCTTGCAACTCGTCCCCCGACGGTTCCCGAGTACATGATGTTTGTTTTGCGTGGGTGGGGTACAACGCCAGCCGCAGTTTTAGCAAGACGGGGCCGCTTTCTTGCAAGTCTGCCAGTCTGCCTCTGCGTCTTTGCCACCAGCGCCTCTTCCGTCGTCGTCTTTGTCGTGTTTTGGAGTGTTGGCTCGGGCACGCGCAGCCCCACGCCCTTTTCTCATGCCCCACGTTTTTTGACACTCAGCCAGACTGGGTTGGGCATTGTTCATCCCTGCGGTTGGCGTCGCTCGCGTTCTTGGTCCGTTCTCTCCACGAGGTACCCTTTGATGCTAAAGAGGGCCGTGGGGGTTTCTTCCCTGAGGTGGCGTCGCAGGCACGGCACCGGGCGGACCCACCACGACACGGCACAGCAGCACGAGGTCACAACAGGTAGGCACGCGGGCACGCAACACTAGAAGGTGGCAGGAGGGAGGAGGCAGGAAGCAGCACAGGAAGTGAGACCGAAGACACAAGACAGACAAGCCCACGTCTGTGTTGTTGTTGTTGTGCCGCCGTGCCGTGCCGTGCTTGGGGTCCGCGTTGCGCCGTGCCCTGTCGTGCCTTCCCTTGCTGTGTCGTCTCGCCCTTATCCCGCGATCCTGCTGTCCTGCCGCCCACGCTGGGCGTGCACGGGGAGGAGGTTCGACCTTCCTGCGCCCGCTGCTGCTTCCGCTGTCTTCTCTTGTTCTGTCCCTTGCTGGCCGCCCGCTCGGAGCTGCTGCCCGCGCGTCTTGCGAGGGCTGGAGGGGCTGACCCTGTCTTCGTGGGCTGGCGCCGTCCTGCGGCGCGCGGCGGTGGGCGGGTCGGCGGGGGCTGCAAGCGTGCTGCACTTCCGTGGGGTCCCACGACGGGCGGTGAAAGACCCGACCCTAGACGGGGGCACCCTGCGCCGCCTCGCCGGCCTCCCTCCAAGGGGCGCGCCGGGGCGCTGCGAGGGTCCGCGGGCCGGCGGCGCGGGCGCGCGGCGCGCGGCGCGTCGTCGGACTCGCGGCCGCTGCTGCGGAGGCCCACAGGCGTCGCGACCGCATGATCGAGGAGCTCCTGTCGCTGCCCGGGGCCTCGTGTTGCCTTGGTTCCGTTTGTCCTGCTCTCCTACGGCCCGCCTTCGGCCTACTTCTTGGACAGACGACGCAGGAGGCGCGCACGAGGTGAGGCAGGGAAAGGGCGGAGAGCAAGGCGACCCGCTCATGCCGGCACTGTACTCCCTGGCGCAGCACGGCGCCCTGGAGATGGCGCGCGCGCGGCTGCAGCTGGGCGAGACGCTGCTCGCTTACCTGCGCGCATTGTCTGCAGACCAGAGCGCGCTACGGAGCTTGTGTAAGTGGCCGGGCATCGAGGCTAACCTGGGCAAGTGCTGCCTGTTGAACCGAGGCGACTTCGAACCGGCACGACGCCTGCGCCGTTGGGCGCCGACGTGCGGGTTGGCGGCGCCTCCACGCCCGAGGAGCACCGCGGCTTCAAGGTATGAGGCACGCCCCTGGGCACCGAAGCGTCCGCGGCTTTGCGGACGCAGAAGAGGACGGACGAGGGGCGCAGCTCCCCACGCGATCTCCCCAACTTGCCGAACCTTGGGTGCGCTTGGGAGCTGCTGTACTGCGCGGTGCCGCGGTGCAACCACGTCCTGCTCACGCTGCCTACGTCGCTGTCGCGGCCCTACGCCGAGTTCCCCGACCGCGGGCTGCAGGAGGCGCTCCACAGCCGGCTCGACCTCAACCCTGGGCCAGTTGACGCAGAGAGACCCTTCCGAGCGAGCTCGCTACCACTTGGCCTCGGGGGCCTCGGACTGAGGTCCGCCGCGCGCGCGGCCCAGTGCGCGCACTTGGCGTCCTAGGCGGACGCGCGTCCCATGTTGTGACAGAAAAACCCTGCAGCAGCAACGGAACTCACCGCCGCCCTCCTCGCTGGGACTGGTGCCGCAGCCGCGTGCTTCCAGGAAGCAGAGCGCGCAGGGGTTGCCGCTGCCCGCGACGGCTCGGCGACGTGCCAAACCTGGCAGGAGGTCTGGGACTCCGCCTCCCTCAGCAGAGCCGAGTGAGTGGAAGCATGGGTGGCAGCGCCGCGCCATAGCAGCACGAGAGCAGCGCTACAGAGGAAGTCGTGCTCACAGCCCTCGCGGACGACCAGCAGTGGATGCTCCACTCGCAGGGGGGCCGCTGTGGCAGACGGCGCCAGACCCTGATCCCCTCGACGCCGGAGGGCACGTGCACGCCAAAGCGTTTCTGGGCGCTGCTCCAAAGACGGTCTCGCTTGCCGGAGGGCAAAAAAAATCCGCCGGTAAGTCCGGTGGATTTGGTCTCCCCATCCTGTGTGCCCAGGTGCCGTCGCGCGTGGTATCTGCCTTTGCTCTACCCCTCCCTGTCCTTCTTCCCTGCCGAGCGTGCGCGCTTCTCGCGTGATCTTCTACAGGCGTTTCTGCTGTGCGCCCTCGGCCCAGAATTGCAGCGAGGGTGGCAGCGCCTCTTTGGCGCTGAAGTGCTTGAGCGCGCGATCCTCGCTCTCGCGAGGCTTTTCCTCCTGCCAGCCGAGCGCCCGGGTGCATTTTTTGAAAAAAAACATATGTGTATATATTATTATTATTATTATTAGTATTATTATTATTATTAGTTTTATTATTCTTAGTATTATTATTAATGTTTAGGGGGGGGTCTTCTTCCCTTCCCTACCCCCAGGCTGCCGCGCCCCCGCGCGGCCAGCGCGGACCCCCCACGCGCCCGCGGTGTGCGCGGGGCGGGGGCGCGCCCCAAAGGGGCGGGGGGTTTTCGGCCGAAGCCAGGGCAACCCCGAATCTCCCGACCGCTAATTCGCCGCCTTGCCGCCGCGGGCGGGCCGTTCCCGCCGCCTGGGGCGGCCCGCTCAGCTGTCGCTGGCCCCGCGGCTCAAGCGCGTGCACGTGCTGCCCCGCGTGCTGTTCCACGTGGGCACGCGCTGCCCCCTTCCCCTGGACCCTCCCCGCCCTAACGTGGTAGAGTGGCCTTTCGCCGGGCCTCCCACTTGCGCCGAGGCGCGCGCTGATCCTGCAGCGCGCCGCCTGCCCCCCCGCAGCTGCAAGTTTTTTGTCGCCCGCCCCCGTTCCCATTTCGTTCCAGCGGGCTACTGCGGATGCCCTGCCTGTCTTTCGTCCCCCGTTCTGGGCGTGACTGTCGGGCCCGCGTGGGACGCGCTGGGACATTTTAGATTTGGCCTTTGGTCCTGGTTCTTGGCTCCGTTTCCGCCTCCGGGCCGTGGTGCGAAATTCTGCATGCTGGCCTCTCCGAGTGCTGGGGGGCCCCGCTCTGCGTTCCTACGCTGCCCCGTTGTGGGGCTTGCGTCCTGCGTGGCGTAGATGTGTGGCCTGCCCTCTTTTCTGGCTCTGCCTCGGCTGAGCTTTGGTTTTTTCTGTGGTCCTACCTTCGCTTGCCCCCCCCCCCCCCCCCCTGACCTGCCTGGGTTTCCCAGTTTCTCTTTCGTCCGTCCCGCCCGCTGGCGGGGCGCCGTGAGCATGCTCATTTTGTTGCCGCAGCCATGCTATTGACAAGGACTGGCGCCACGCATCTTTAGGCCTGGCCTGTTTGCGGGGCGGTGCCATTCGTGGCGCGCCCAGCGTGGGCCCCTGACCAGTTCTTTGGCCGGGGGTGTGCCGGGCGAGCGTCGGCACCGTCGTGGCCTGCGCCCAGGGGGGCTAGCGCGCAGGGCGACTGCGGATTGTGTGCGCGGTGGCAAAATGCCAAAATGCGAGGTGGTTCTTTGTCACCTGCGCCACTTGCGCACGCTCCCCCTCGCGCCTGCTTGCCTGCCCTGCTTCTCCTCCGTCTCGCGGATGCCCCTGTCTAGCCCGTGTCCATGCGTTGTGCCCATCCTGCGGTCTCTCTGTTGCGATGCGGTCCGCGCTTGTGCGGTCTTCCCTGGTTGTCTCTGCTCGCTGCCGTCTGCTCGTGCTCCCCTCCCTTGCCCTGCCCCCTCCCGGGGTTCCTCTGTTCTTGCCCTCTGCCCCTCCTGGCTGCCACGCGATGTAGTTTCTAGCCTTGTCCACATCAAGGTTGCCTTTGAAACACTGCCATTGTGTTAAGTCCCCTTTCCGCTGCCTCATGATGCATGCTTATTGTGTGTGTGTGTGGCTCAAGCCATTTTGGCTCAAGGGCGCCCCTGCCGCGGGGCCGCGCGCGGGGGTTGGCGCGCCGCCCACGTCGGCCACCGACGCCGGCGCCGCCATCGCCAACGTTGCCACCTGCCTTGATTGATCCCCCTTGTTTGGGCGGACCGCTGTCCAGCGGCGCACATCAGCGCGCGCGCTGGGGAGGGGCTGGCCCTTCTCTTTGCGCTTGCCTCTTTCGCTGCAGGGGGGGCTGACCACTGGCGCTCGGCGCTGTCCAGCAGAATGCATCGTCTTGAGCTTTGCTGCTAAGTTCTTTCTACTTGGTTTTCCTCCTCTCTCGCCTCTGTCTCCCTTGCTGCCCCTCGCCCTCCCTTTGACGTCGAAGTGAATTTCCAACGCCGTTTTTGCAAGACGGCGCCGTGCTCTTGCAAATCTGTCGGCCCGCGGTTTGTGCATGTTGGCGCCCGCGTCTCTGATGGCTTGCCTGTTGCGTTGGTTGCCCCTTCTTTACGCCCTGCATGGAGAGGTAAGAAGCGACGATTTTGCAAAACGGCGCCGCGGTCTTGCAAATCTGGCGGCCCTCAGCTTTATCATCGTGCAGGTCGCGTTGTGTTCTGGTGTGTGTGTGTGCATGTGTGTGTGTGTGTGTGTCTCTGCGTGTTTGGCGCGCGCGTGCGCGTGCGTGTGTGCGCGCGCGCGCAAGCGAGCGCGGGAGAGAGTGTCATGGCGTTGGCATGGATCAGACGGGGTGCAGCGCAAGCGGGTTGTTCGCAATTCGTGTTCTCATGTTGCGTCGCCTTCTTCTTGCCCCCCCCCCTCTGCTCATGTCGCCGCGTTTGCCCGAAGCCGCGTCTTGTTGTTGGCATGTCGCTCCGCAAGCGCCCCGCCAGTGCTGACGTGCCCCCTCTCTCCTTGGAGACGGAACTGCGCGCATTCATTAACAGGCATGGCCCCCGCCCTCTTAGGTCCACCCTGCTTGGTAAGCGTTTGCACAGGGTCGTTGGCACCATGGTTGATAGTATTGCCTCGTTGTTGGAAGGCGCCCCCTCCGCGCATAAAGCCACAGTTGCAAAGGCAGATTTTTTTGGCAGCTTCCAGTGTTGGACGGGCCCTTACCCCTTCATTGTCCAAATGGGTGTCTGCGATGCGGTCGCGCAATGCCTTGGCCGAGTCGGAATTGAAACGAGCCCTGGCGGCGTCGTCAGCTACCTCTCGGTGGCGCCAGCCAGTTTTATCTGGAATGACAGTTGCTCAGACGCGCCGAAGGACAAACGAGTAGGGAGGGGCCGCAGGCAGCTCGGCCGTTCAGAAGGGTATTCCTGTGAGCCCGGCTGTTGTTGTGAATTGGTTATACCAGGCCTGTGCTGATGTCGCTTGTTTTTTGAGTCGGCGAATGGGGGAAGGCCAGTTTGATTGCAATGGGGTTATTCCTGATGGTACCTTGGGCGAGTGCGCGCTCATGTGGAGTAGTTTCCTGGGCGCTGTGCGTGACCAGGCGATGGCGGCATGGGACTATGATATGGACTTGGCTGCGCTCCTAGCAGAGGGGGTGGACTGGGCGGCGATCTGGGCCCCTCTTACGCGTCATCACGGTCAGCTTTGATATAAGACTGCATCTTTAAACGCCCACAAGTTTCGAGCATGCCCGCGCGACCCACTTCCATGAAGCGAGTACGCAGCCATCCGGGGCTCTCTGGCCGCAGAGGGGAGGCTGAGCCGGGCGGCCTTAGGAGGGGCCAGCGAAAGCGGCCCTCCATCAGGGCCGGCTCGCCCAAGAGCCCCACGGCGTTAACGTCATAGACATAGAAATGTACGTTGTGAGGCCGTATTCTGATATTCGAGTTTTGGCAGCGAAGCCCCACAACGTTTGCGCCCCGTTGCTTTTTCCATTGCGAGTCGGGTTTCTCGGGCCGCTTCGTTTTAAGATGCCGCGAACCGATAGCGTTTTGAAGGATGAGTATGGGCCGCGTTTCTTGGAGCAGCGGAGAGCGAAGATCCGGAGCGGGACGACGGGGTGGCTTGATGCGCCGCCCTCGGCGCGGCGGGCGGCCTGGCCGACGACGGCCATTCTACGGGCAGGCGAATTATTTTGCGTTTGAGGTTTTTGTTGCGCCTTGTTGCTGCCGCCCTAGCCTTTGTGTCACGTCGTCCTCTAAGGTGAAAAGTGCAGCCCGCCATTTTTGCAAGACGGCGCTGCGCTCTTGCAAATCTGTCGGCCTGCCCCGCCGACGTTGTCGTCTTCTTGCCGTCGCCGTCGCTTCTCTCGTCGTCTTCTTTGTCGTTGTCGTCGCTTGGTCTCGCGTCGTCTTGGGTTGCTTGCAAGGTGTCACCCTGTCCCCAGCGTCAACTTCTCTTCAGGTTATTGCATCGCCGACTTTGCTCGCAAGGCCGTCAGCTCTTGACAGTTGGATGCAGCGGGGTTGCCCCAACCGCCCTTCGTGGCTTATAAAATGACATGTTGTACTGCTGCATGCAAACGGCCATCTGCTTCCACGCGCCCATGTTGCATGGCATGTTGCTCTTGTTTTGTTTGTGCGCAGACCATTGGTTTATTCTCATAGCCTCGCGGCCCACTCCGCCCTTCATGTGCTGCTGGCCCGGGTGCCGTTGGTGCCGTGTCGTTCCGCTCTGGGCGTGTCTGTCCTGACTGCGAGGTTGTCTCGAGTGTTGTTTGTTCTTTTGTTATTGTCTATGGCTCCCCTCGTCCGCCTCGCGTGCTGCCGTGGTGCTGTGCCGTGCCTTGGCGCCTTGCCGTGTCG